CTTTGCTAAAGATTGTAGATCTAAAAATCAGGGAAACGTGAAGGGGAGGGGGCAATGCAACTGCCCTGGCCGCACCCAGCCCCCTCCCACCTGGAACATGGGGCAGCCACATATGGATGTAGCTACAAGGCATAAAACACCTCTGAACCTGACACTTTTCCTACTAATGAAAACTGCGAGCTTTTACTTGCAGGATTGGATCATCAGACGCCCTCGGAACCAGTACAGCCCAGTGCCAGAGGAGAGCGACACGCCGACCAACACCCTGTCCCACCCTGCGGGCTCGGCGCAGACGAAGGCCAGACAGCAACAAGCACTTAAGTCACTGTCCAAGGTAGTTCTGCAAAATCGCAGAGGACTGGACATTCTGTTCTTACAAGCAGGTGGACTGTGTGCTGCTCTTAAAGAGGAGTGCTGCGTTTTCGCAGACCACACAGGGTTAGTGAAAGACACCATGGCCAAGCTGCGTGAGAGATTAGAAAGTCGAAAAAGGGACAGGGAATCGCAGGATTGGTTCACATCACTGTTTGATCAGGCACCGTGGCTCACCACCTTGCTATCCTCTCTTATCAGTCCCATAACAATACTCCTTTTAGCACTGGTTTTCAGACCCTGCATTTTTAACAAACTCGTATCCTTTGTTGAGAACCGCCTTAAATCCATCAACATCATGGTGGTCAAACAGGGGCAAATGCTGTAAATAATGCCTTAAACCAAAGTAGTTCCACACAGTTTTGCACTAACTCACAATTCTATACCTCAGTGTTAAGACACTTCTCTCTACCTCTCTAGGGCTTCCTTTAAGCCACTCGTTGAGCCTTAAAAACTTTTGACCTCTATGACCTCTATGACAGTATTTTGCACTTCTTAAATTATAGCCTGCTTTATATAGCATGGAGAGGGGGGAAATGTGGGTAGACAGGGCCCGGCGTTCGGAAGATTTTGGGATGTACGGAAAGACAGGGACCGTCCCCCTCCAATGCCTGATAGCCAATAGTAGCTAAGAGATAACGTAAGCAGACGGAAGTGACAATGTAACTAAACCTTATAAAAGGCCATGTTACAAACTAATAAAGGCCATTTTACCACCCACCACATTGGTGTCTGTGCGTTAATGGCCCGAGTGACTAAGACGTAGTCACCGTACCCTTCCCGGACCAGGTCGTCATGCAACAGGAGACATCTGCTTGGTCCTGTTTTATTCATCCTGACTGACTATTGTGTGGATGGGATGGAACACGTGTCATTGCAAATGTTGTGCTCGGGGATGTTCTTGGTCTCCCTTGGCTTGGCAGGGCAACACCTCCCCACAAGCCCTGGTCATGCCAACATGTCCACACCCAGCCCTTCCACCAGGCCCAGGCCCATCACAAATGTGTTCTGGATGCCTTGATCCCAAAGCATCTTTGTGACTCGCACATGTATTGACAATGTCTGATGCATAAATCCAGATCAAATCTATTCCCTGGATTGGACATGGAGACGTGAGCCCCTCAAGTGAAGACATCTCCATCCCCTATGTCCAAAGGAAGCTGTGTGTCCATAAACCACGGGATCCAGCTGTGGGTGTGCTCTTCTCTGTGCCCACCCCAATGCTCCCCTGGCTGCACAGGCACACAGGGGCAGAGGCCCTGCTGTGCTCAGGGCTATGGGGGTGTGCAATGCTCAGGTGCTTCTGCTCCCAGGGAGAACAAACATGGATTTCTCTCCCTGACTGCACCTCTGCCTCCCACAGTCCCTCCTGGAATGGGATTAAGCTGCCCAGTGACAGCCCTGGAGATACAAAGGGGTGGATGAAGAGACACGAAGGGTCTGTGGAGCTATGTGGTGAGAAAAGGGGAGATACCTGCGGCCTGAGCTCTGCTGAGATGTCCACCAGACCCTCAAACCTTCATATTCATACTGGTTTGCAGCCGCTCCTTTCTTTCCTTGGATTTTCTTTCCAAAGCTAAATCCCAGGCAAAAGTAATTTTTAGCCCTGACTGGACATAGAAAGGCCCATGCCATGGGATCGTTAAAATACCATGTGAGGTCACAGGGTCACATCTGTTCCCACATCAAAATTATCATCAACTGGCAGATAGAGGTTTGCCTTAATGTTAATGTTTTAGAGAAAAGAGCTCTGCATATTCCCATATGGGCTGGATTTGATGTCCCCACACGAGCCCCATGCAACAGGTTTTTG